AAATTCATATTGAAAAGACTCGTGCGCCATAAATGAGTATATACAATAAAATACAAAGCAAATGGATCAACAGAAAGATACAAGGCGATGACAAAACAGTACACTTAAAACATATAAAATTGACTACCATAAAAAATCTCCAATTGTAAAGATGAATGTGATAAGAACCCTATTAATATTGGCTACTAAGCTTCTATGGAAATTACGACAGCATAATGTCAAAAATATATTCTATATGGAGATTTAGAGGAAGATATATATATGGATACCCCATCGAGTTCTAATGAGAACTTGCCTAGTCATACTATATACAAACTTAAGAAGACCTTGTATGGACTCAAGCAATCACCAAGCATGGTTTAACATATTTACAAGAGTTATGCTAGCCATGATATTTAAGCAGAGCCAAGAAAATCACACATTATTCATTAAACACTCATCTTTCGCAAAAGTCACAGTACTTCTAGTCTATGTGGATGACATAATAGTAATAAGAGATAATAATGCAAAGAGACAACAACTGAATGAATTCCTAACTAAAGAATTTGATATCAACATACCAGGAAAGTTGGAAGTACTCTCTTGGTATTGAAGTAGCTCACTCTAAACAGGGCATTCTCATCTTTCAGCACAAGTCTGTTATTGATTTTTTAAGTAAGCAGGCAAGACAGCCTGCAGACTAGCAAGTACCCTGATGGACCCAAATCTCAAGTTGGGAAAAGTAGAAGAAGATTCGGAGGTAAACAAAGAAATGTATCAAACCCTTGTGAGAAGACTTATTATCTAACTTACACACAACCAGATATTTTCTCTATAATAAGTACAATCAATCAGTTTATGCATAACCTAAGATAAGTCCACTTATAGGTAACGGTGTTGTTGTACCTTAAAGGTACACTAGGTAAAAGTATTCTGTTCAAAAAAACTAGAGGATGAAATGATTTGTACACCATTTGTGCCCGCCCTTGCATGGTCAGTTAGCTGATGTGCTTACTAAAGAAATGAGTAGCCCAGTGTGTTTCAAAAGATTGTTAACAAGCTGGGAATGGAGAACACATACTCACCACCTTGAGGGGAAGTGTTGGACAAGGAAAATGTATATTTTATAATCTATGGAATTGAACCTATTTAAGTAGAATCCTAGTTTTCCTTTTATAGAGCTACAACAACACTATAAATAGGCACGTAATCACTTGTAATATTAAGAAGAAATACAAATTTCTCAACAAGTATCATAAATAAATGAGTCCCATGGTTCAAAGGGGACATTCAACTTTTAATAAATTCTATGTTATTCTCGAATAAATAATTATTATCTTGGAAGATTCCAAAGTCTCAAGATATCCTTAGTGGATTTTCAAAAAATTTCTTTTAACTAATTGTGAATGTTAATAAAGCTTAGTGGATTATAGGTAATTTGTCTAACTTGAACCTTATCAAAGCACCCTAGAAATCTTGAACAAGATCAAGCAAATACCCGATATTAAAAACTAACCTTAGGACCCATTACATCTGGCCTTGATCCAGTGGTATCTTCATTTTCAATAAAGGACTTCACATACTCTGTTATTTGACGAGCGAGTAATGCAGACTTATGTTGAAGATGCTTATAGAGGTTCTTCCTGACGGCGATTTGGGCAAAATTTTCATTACTAACAGATGCTGAGCGCAAATCAGTCAAATCTCCAGGATCAATATCTATATGGGTCTGATAGAGATGCCCAGTAATAAGCAGGTCCAATGCTGAGTCACCAAGAAATTCAAGTCTCTGGAAGAAGTTCAACTATTAGAAGATGGAGATCAAGTGAACTCACATCCATATAAACATACAAATGAAACATTGAAAGAACATCTCATTTTTCTTTTTGATTGCTCTTCCTTTTTTGTATTCTAGGAGAATCTTAACAAGCAAACTTGAAAACCATGTACACAGCGAAACCAAAAAAAAAAGCAGAATTTCCATTACTACCTGGTAGCAGTATGACTCTTGAGCCGTTGTATGTGTAATTGCTTCCTGTAAGAGAAACTTGACAGAAAACCTATAGCCGAGCTTTGACTCCAAA